TCGGATAGAAGTGACATTTCAGGACCGAACAGCTGTTCCAGGGCAGATCGGTTCTCCTGCACATATGATTTGCGATGTCGATCTGCCCTGGAACAGCTGAGAAAGCGTTGGAATGCTTGACCTATTGGTGGCCACACATTCCACCGCCAAAAAACTGGGCGGGATTACATTGAAATGTGACCACGTCACTGGTCACACATTCCAACCTAGTCACAAACTTTGATATAACAGTGGCCCTGCCTAATCATTTAATCAGAGAAATAGATTATAAAATAGGTAACATTACAGCGTAATGTTCCCCATTATAATCCACTTATCTAATTAAATGAAATAACAGCACACAGTGTGCAGTTACACCCGTACCAACCCCTCCCTCCGCCCGGATCCTCATTCGTACTCACCTGCCAAGCCTCACAGCCAGCATCCTAGCCAGACGGTGTGCTCTGCAGGGGGCGAGGCATGTGACACACACTTCTCCTCTCCCGCCGCCTGGTACTAGGGACGCGGCCGGGAGAGGAGGTGAGTCACAGGACCGGCCCCCTTGCTGAGAAGCCCATCGGCAGTGCAGGGACCCTGCACTGCCGCATATTCCACCGGGGGTGCCCAGGACCAGACCTCACTTGGCCCCCCCACAGCCTCAGGCCAGAGCAGTAGTTCCGCCCCTGGACAGGGAGCCGCAGCAGGGGGATGAAAGAGCCGCATGCCGCTCCGGAGCCACGGGTTGCTGACCCCTGGTATAGAGCAACAATAAACATTATAATAAAGGAATAACAGGAATGGTTCAATTATTTTGACAGTTGACCTCACAGTGTTTTAGCATGAGAATAAAACACCAATGGAAGCCATCTAGGTAGACGTGTTGAGTTAAGAACGAGAGGTCTAGTGGAAAAGAAGGAAAAAGAGAAGGAGATAGAAAAAAAAAAGAAAACTGTGAATAGTAAAGAGAAGGGGCAAGGGTAGGGGTTGGGAGGAGCGCACAATATTTTGGATTGTGAATAAGGAGCCAAATTAGTTCAGTGAAAGTCTGGAAAGTGCCAGCGTCACAGGGTAAGTAAACGTTAATCGAACGACGGGGGGAGCAAATGAGTAACCCATGGCTCCCAAAGTTTTTCAAAATTAGGCATACAATCTTGGAAGCGGGTCGACAGTTTTTCATTATAAAACGTCCAATGTTTATTTTTTGATGCTGGAAGAGCTGATGAACTGCCCATTAGCTGATCTCCTAGACCAGGCATCCAGACTTGTTCTATGTCTACCCAGCTTAAAAGTAAAAAATTCTAGTGAAAATAAAAGCATGAGATGAGTACAGGGAGTACACCCTACCTGCCCAGAGATTCAGTTTTTCATCCAGCAATTGCTGCTTCACACCAGTTCACCCCACTCCATTCTGCCGGGTATCTGAGAATCCCTTTCACGTGGCTATTATATTTGAAAGGCTCCTGGCTATCTAAAAATTCCAGAACTATTACGGTTCTCAGAGCTTCTTGCAAGATTTAACCCTTCCTTGGAGGTTTGAATGTAATTGATGATTTACGGGACAGAGATAGTTACACAGTACCTGCATAAAGGAGTATACTACCAGTGAGCTGCAAGATGGCTGGTGGCATTTGGTTATAGAGAGGACAATGTTCTGTATAAGTTATCCACTGAGGGCCTTGACTTGCTGTGGTGCAAAAATAGTCAAAGGCCATTTTTTAAATCCTTCCATATGTGTGACTGTTCGGGACATGAAGATCTTATAAGGAGACTTTACACTGGAAGTGATTCAGGCAATTGTGAAGCCACCCGATCACTTCCAGGGGCATGTGTGCCAAACATCCATCTGCTGATCTCCCCCTGGTGAATGAACCTGACAGTAATGATGATTTCACTTCTGGTTTCTCAGTTGTCCTTTCCTGGCCAGAGCGGCCGGGAAGAAGCTGATCAAGCACAATCTGTGGGCTGCAAAGGTGACATTAGGGGTCTAATAGACCACTAATATCTCCTTTACAGAGAACCTGTCATCACTAAAATGCTAACACATAGGGGGCTTGAGGGCCCACTATGTGGTAGCAATAAAGTTAAGTAAACAAAAATGTAAAAAAGTTCACAAAATATAGTTAAATAAAATGATACAAAAACACTCCCAAAAAAAGTCAAAAGTCCCCCGCATACATGCACATACTTATGCAAACATGTGCAATTTAGAGCAAAAATTATATGGCCATTATTCATGGCTAACTCTAAATTGATGACCTGTAAAAGCTTTTAAAGCATCGCCTATAGACAATTGTGGGTACGTAGCGTTTTGCCATTTCGCAGGCACACATCATTTTGCAGCTTGATATGTTTGGTATCTATTTATTTGGCACCACATCCTCTTTTATAGTTTATCATAAAATTGGGTTATATATTGTGTTTATGTGCACTAAAATTACCTTAAGTATATTTTTTTTACTGAAAACTTGGGTTTGATAAACAGTTGTGCTAATGTTATGCTAAATATAAAATTGCAACTGCCCCCATTTCATTCTACAGGGTCTATACTTTCAGGAAACATATAATTGTGGGGGTTTTAAGTAATCTTCAGGCCTAAATGTGCATTTTTACATGTGTGCAGAGAAAGGTTTAAAGACATTTGAGTAGAGTTTTTGACTTTAGCACTGATGAATTTATTTCTGGATCTGATTAACAGTTCAGTGTTTGATTTTACTTCACCTGACCAAGTGCGGTCCTCTTCCCCTAATGTAACGAGAACCCATAGCACTGTTTTCCTTTACTGTGGATCTGTCTAAATTGCTATTATTCATCCCTACATTTTTAGATGTGTAGTAATTATGTTAGTTCAATCTGCAGGGGAGATTTGGTTCAATAACATCAAGTTAGGTGTAATTATTTGTAAAAGCTTTTTGTGCATTATCCATACAGAAAACATTCATAAGTAAATTGTCTGCTGATGAATAAAACTATTCATGGCTTATCTGCTATCAATATAAAATTAATGTAATTTTTACATTGTAATAAAACTACTATTATCAAGTTTTTTAAAAGGATGCGCCCCTGTGGCAGGCAGATTGTGATATTATATTTCGGATCACAAGATGTCAAAATTAGAGTAATCCATTATTTGCATGTATCGTTTTTATTACCTTTGGCTAATCATTTTATAACAGTATATGCAAAATAATGGGAATGCAAGATATATGATAAGTAGAAATATAAAGTAACACCACTCATACAACAATTATTGAGCAGCCTGGCAGAGCAGGAAAAGGGGGGGCGCACTATCATCCCCCCTCCTGCACCATGCCAGGCCACATGCCCTCAACATGGGGAGGGTGCTTGGCTGGGGGGTACACCTGGCAAAGCACCATGCCCTCATGTTAATGAGGACAAGGACCTCTTCCCCACAACCCTGACCCGGTGGTTGTGGGGGTCTGCGGTCAGTGCGGCTTATCTGAATCTGGGTGCCCACTTTCATAAAAGGGGCACCCAGATGCCGCCCCCCCTCATGAATGAGTATTCCAAAAACAAGAAAATGTCAATTGATGTAATCCACAGGTCAATCACATCGTTCAGTGTTGTAGATCCTCATCAATCATGATGGACGACGGACGCCGACTCCCAAAAGATAAAATCCCCGCTGCCTTGTCCGATCCTGATGAACTCTCAGTGCTATAGACAGCTCTTCTCCTGAACATCAACAAAGGGGCATCACGGGACTTGCTCTGCCCCTTTGTTTACATTCCAATAAGGGACAGAGAGCTGTGCAGGAGGGGGGTGTGATCGTGCAGCCCTTTCCTGCTGGGTCTGGTAAGGGATTTTAGGAGGCCCCCCCGCTTTTGGGGCTTTTTTTGGTATTGGGTTCCCCCTAAAATTTCTACCAGACCTAAAGGTCTGTCTTTACCTTCTGGGTGGTGTTATTAAG